TTACCTTTCAAGTAGTTCATTAATCTTCCAAATTTTGTTTAGACAATTTCACAGGTATGCAATGAAATAAAAATAACATCAACAGGCTAATAAATTTTATATTTGTATTAATCATATATATATATATATATATATATATATATATATATAGGTAAAAAAATTGTTAGAAAGATTCTGTACAAAAAGCATCTTTCTGTAGAACCACGTCTCTTGCATCAAGTCTCATAATTTGCGATGAGATTTTTCAGCATTCTCTGCCATATGGGAAGACTGATATTAAATATCATCTGAAATCTTTTGTTTTGACTATTAGGAAAACTTGATTTATTCGGACACCAGAAGATAATACCTTCATTATTTACACTATTTACATTTGGTCTACTGTCCTCATATTTGTTGTTCATATCACAACGATTTGACCGTGGTGTCCCCCAACTTACATCAGGTGTATATCAATCTGGGTAACCTACAGTGATTATTGAACTAAATCCTTTATTAAATCTACAGGGTAGACTGTTCTCCTTCCACTGCCCATGACTAGAGACATCTCGCCTTGTTCTTTTTTTTTCTTCTTTTTTTGTAGATTATTATTATTATTTATTCTGTCGAGCTAGCTCGAACATTGATGAGACTATTACGCCAACCATCACGGTCCGGCATCAAGGTTAGAATGTCATTAGGTTGGCATCTTGTGTCATAACATAGCTGGTCAATGTAGGTGGTTGCATGCTCCATGGTGACGTGTCCAGAGCAGTAGAGTAAATATTTTTTGTACTACTCAATTATTGCCTGCTTCTTTCCACTGGATCCAAGTACACATAGATCGGCCCAGTGAACAGTGGAACGATATAAAAAAAATGTCTTTGTTGGCTGTGGGTTAACGCAAAGTACCGAGACCCTTATGAACAAGAATGTTTCCTCACGTAAATCACAATCTATATATATAAAACAGAGGATGTTCGTGTGTCTGAGTGTCTGTATGTCTGTCTGTGTGATACCTTTTCACTCGAGATCCATCCAACCGTTTTTGACCAAATTTGACAAATACATTGTACAATGTAAGAGATAGGTTCTTAGCGTAAAAAATCGATATTTTTTAAAAAATCAATCATCGATAAAACAGATCAAAATCGATAAATTCAACTTTTTTTTCCAATTTCGTTCAAACTCGGTATGTAGGTTACTTACATCATGACGAGCTCAACGATACCTTATTTTTATTTTTACGCTACTGCGTTTAGCGAAAAACGAAAAATCGATTTCAACATAAATTTTAAACTAAAAACTCCTTCAATTTTCAAGCAAACTTCACTCAGTTGTAGCCAACAGTAAGTTGATTCTTTAACAGTCATTTAACTTGATAATTGCGTTCACCCATATAGCGAAAACTCGCGTAAATATCAAAAAATGGTGATTTTTACTGGTTTGCTTCCTTATTTTTCGTTGATCTTTCAAATAATTTTCATCAAAATTAACAATTGCTTTATAAATGTATCCTCTTTTACATCCCTGGTAGCACACTGACAAATTGAATTTCAAAAACTTCAAAATAATTGTGGTCTGAAGTGGGTCTTCATGTTGCCTGTTTTACCTCTTCATGTCCTTGGCTAACTTTGATTGGATAAATACACACTACTTCTGTTATATCAGTAGCTGCATTAATTTAAAATGTTTTTTTTTTTAATGAAAGAACTTTAAAATAATTGAAGAAGATAGAATCTGTTATATGTAAACATGATGTTTTTGCTCTATTTTAATTGAACGCTTTTTCTGATCGACCAACTGGGTAGGGCTGCTAGTTACTTATATTTGTGTGCTATTTTGTCTAATATGTGCTATGTTAATTTCGTTTCATTAGTGCTGTTAAGGAGAGTGTTCGAGCACTTATTTCGGAAAACCACTCTCCCATGACTTCCTTACTTTCCCACTGGCAGTGGCAGCCAATGCTGTTTTCACCCGCCACATCAGCCAACCTTGACAAAAACTCATAAGATACTGGGATGTAGTTTCAGTAGAAAGCCCTTTTTAAAGAGCAACCACAGACTAAAGTGGGGAAAAAGACCCTAGATATCTGTAATTGGAATAAGAAAAAAAATATTTCATCTGGAAGAAGGGGACAAGTCAATGAAAGAAAGAAAAAGCTCTTTTCAAATCTAGGCCACCAAGAAAGTTTTTACACCACACCCCTACGCCACGTCATATCTTCGGAGGAAATAAATATTTGACCAGCAACGCTTAGTAGGATCCTATTTCTTAATTGGAACCCTACATCCTCTCAACAGTTTTTTTTTAATTCTCTATACCAGTGTGTTATCTTTCCCATTGGTGGATTTGATCGCTTTTTACAAAAGATTGTACGACAGTCAAGGAAGTACAGTGTTTTGTTGACAATACATGAAACACATCGGAACATATGTGTTAAACGCATAAGTAAATATATGTATAATCTTCATTTACAAGGGTTGATTGATAAGTACAGCCTCTGACCACGTGCCGTCGCTAATAGTGGAGATAGAAACGTGCTTAGACATCTGTTCCGTAGTATATAACGTCCTGTTCAAATGTGCTTTGCTGTCTGACGGCGTTAACCTTTGTTAATGCGACGTTTGATTTACAGGGATCACTAATCGAATTTGGGTCCTTAGAAGGTTGCATATAAAGGAAGATTCCCAGACAGACGAAAACAATATAACCCTAATCCTGTGGGCGTTGAAGTGGGTTGTCCTTCGTCGGATCTCTTAGATTGGAGCTACGGAATCTCAAAGAACTTTGGCAAATAACAGATACCGCATTTACTTGAAGATTTTCAACAACGGCAACAACTAAAATGGATAGAACATGTATCTAGGAGCGAAGATAAAATAAGCAAAATGTTGACTTTCAAAACTACCTTAACATTTCATTTCAACGTAAATATCTAGAGAGTGGCGTACCTTGATCGCAGTAAATTTGCGTCCCGATTCTTGCAACATTTCATCATTCCTGGTAGATCTACTATCACAGTATGGGATACCTACTAACAAATGAGATGGAAAAAAAAAGACTTTAAATGAATTCGGTTAGATATTTTTTTAAAAAGTCTAAAATCCCCAGCATCCCTCGTTTGTGCGCATGTCTAGTCGTACCAAAATAACAACATTATTCCGATGAAGTCCTGAAGGACGAAACGCGTCACAAGTAAACTTTTCCACTTTGTCATACAACTTCCCCAAACTATCTTAAACAAAAGCTTAGGAAGGAAACGCACCGTCATTACTTGAAAGATCGATAACATTTAGTGGATCTTGTAAACAGATTTTAAGGAAAAAAATGGTTCTACTTTGGCTACAAAGAAAAAATATCTACACCGGACACTTGAGGACACATGGTACAGTGGATAAAGACGTCAGTGACAGGACCCAAAGAGTGTGAGTTCAGTACCTGGCTAAGGCGGTGGAGAACTTGAAAAGGGGAATTGACAGGAGATAACTGATAACATTAGACATGGCACGTGGAACTAGAACAGTCTACCTCAGCGAGCGAAATAAAGGGTTCAGTTCGACATTCCAACCACATGAAGAAGTCCGGAGCGTACAACGGCCGAAACGTTGTGATAAATATGATAACAAAGATGAGGATGATAGTCCGAATAATGTAAATAGTGTACATAATACCTCATCTCAGAAATATAGACAGATAATAATACCTAATCTCAGAAATATAAACAGAAACTGAAGGATATCTACATAGTAGAACATATAACATATAATATAGAGAAAAAGTAATTAAAATATTAAAATATTTTCTATTAATAATATTCTAGCGATAAACAGTACGTACATCAGCTAAAACTGGTAAATAACTTTTCTTGATGTAGATCGCATACCAAAGTAAATTCATGACACGTACATAACATGCCAAAGTAGCACCAAAAAGATTTTATAAATTTCAACCAGAAGTTCAGTAAATTAATATCTAATGTTCCCATATAAAGAAAAGGTTAATCTCAGCATCACGAGCGCTCAATGCATCTGCAGAATAAAGCCTAAAAGAATAAATGTTTGCATCACAATGCAAAATGACACTGCAGTCAATAAACGTTGCAAACGGTAAGAAAACAGAAATTCCGTGTTCATGCACTTCCGAAACCTGATTTGACATCATTAAACTTGTAGTTGTTTCCAAAATAGAAAGAAATTTTTAGATTATGTCCTTATTTTACATGTACGATACATTTTAGTTTTTACTGCTGTTGGTAGTCCTCAAATGATGTGGTTACTGTTATTCGGTGCAGTTCTTTGTGAATCTGTAGCGCCAGTCCACAATCTTAATAAAAGGATAATATTTACAGTATTTACATTAGTCGGACTATTGTCCTCATCTTTGCCGCCATATTTGTCACAACGTTTCATTGTACGCTCCGGCCTTCTTCAGGTGGTTGGAATTTCGAACTGAACCCTTTATTTCGATCACTGGGGTAGACTGTTCTAGTTCCACGTGCCATGTTTGATGGATGTCAGTTATCATTTATCTCCTGCTATAGCCCGACTAATGTAAATACTGTACAGAATACCTCATCTCAAAAATATAGACAGACTCTGAAGGATAATATTTGTCAAGACCTTCAAGATTTACTTGCTCAAAGACTTTTTTTTTTCAACATGGATCTTAGGAAGCGGTTTGTCAGAACTGACAGTTGAGATATTTCAGAACGGGTTTGGCGCTATGTATGGCATCCATATGAAAATCTTCATCTGACGAGGTTATTTATGAAAAAATGATTCGAATTTTCAGGTCGCTAATTTGGTCGCGGGGCAGTTTGCAGTATTGGGCGAAACTACATTTATGTTCCATTTCATCTTCTATACTTAATTTGTTATAACTGATCATTACGCCGGGGGTTGTGTGTTATTGTTACGGCTCTATAGTAGTTAGATTTCAAGGCACATTAAGCACTACAGGTTTTTATTTAAGGAAGTCTCTATCTTCTTTTCATCAATATTTTTCTTTTGATATTTCTCATGTCTTCTTCTTTGGTAAACTTGCTATTGAAAAGGTTATTCTGTTCTACTTTACTGATTACTTGGTTATCACACAAGCAGTTATATATATATATATATATATATATATGTATGTATATATAGGCGGGGGGATCAACTAAAATCTTTCATGCTACTTACCTGAGGAAACCTAACGGTCGAAACCTGGGTAGCGTGGTGCCTTGAGTTTTGGTGTTCCTGATTACATTTTGCTCTACAACTCAGATTTTGTATTGAGCGATTTTTTTGATTGCACTTTTTTTACAATATATATATATATATATTACAATCTTATATATTTTATATTGTATTGATATATATTATTGATATATATATTACAATCTTATATATTTTTATATTGTATTGATATATATTATTGATATATATATATATATATATATATATATATATATAAGAGGAAATATAGTTTTAAGGTATGCTATATTTATGGGGAAAGTGCTCAATATCAGAGATAGAGCGTATGTAAATATAAAAGTAGACATTTAAGTCAACACTCAGAAGCGACAGAATGTTTCATGGTAAATGCAATCGGTGGCCTGACGATTTGCTTTTTAATACAGTGACTTTATTGCCAACCTTTATACAAACGTACACACACAAACATATATATATATATATATATATATATGAGTATGGATACGAGGCGAGAAATCATGAGTCGTATTAAATAATAACTAAGCTTGATATCCCGAGACATGGTTAGGAGAACAAAGATGAAAAAAATCTTCATAGATTAAATAAAGAATTCATTATATTTTCTGTTTACACGTTATTTTTATGGATTCAACTGATTTGAGTAAATGCTCTGTCTTTTAATTAAACAATATTCATTACATTTACCGGTCTGAATGTTCGAGAAATTTCGTAGAAAATATGCCTTCTCCTCCCTGTATCCCATAAGGAAACCGTCATTTGGCCTGACCATTCAGGCACAAAGAACTTCCGGTTAGCAAAGTTCAAATTCGGAGAGCACATACTTTCGAAGAATATTTCTCGAACAGTCAGGACGGTAAATGTAATTAATATTGTTTAATTATAAACAGAGCATTTACTCACACACAGAGGCACACACACACACACACACACACACACACACACACACACACACATATATATATATATATATATACACACACACACACACACACATATATATATATATATATAAATATATATATATATATACAATAAGTTAAGTTCTATGGATATAAGTTTGTGACCCCGAGTTTCACGCTTTTGCGATCATCAGACAAATTGGATTATTTTTTAAAATTGGATCTATTTATGCTTGTTTGACTATGTTTGGTGATGGGAGGGAAAATCTACGTCTGTGTTTGTTTGGGGTGGCACTATCATA